CTCCTCTGTCGTCTGTGAGGTGTGTGACTCTAGCAAGCAGTTCTGGGCCTGCCCCAATGGGGGGACTCCTCCGCCACTGCCTGTGGGGTGCATGTGGCTCTAGCAACTAGTTCTGTGCCTGCCCAAAGCAGGGGACTCCTCTGTGGCCACACGCTGCCCGCAGGAGTTGTGCGGCTCTAGCAAGCAGTTCTAGGCCTGCCCAGAGCCCTGGAACGGGGATCTCCTCTGTCACCTGTGGGGCATGCAGCTCTAGCAAGCAGTTCTGGGTCCTCCCAGAGTGGGGAACTCCTTTGCTGCCACCTGCAGGGTGCACGAGTCTCTAGTAAGTAGTTCTGTGTCTGCCTGGAGCAGAGGACTCCTCTGCAGCCACCCGCCGCCCGTGGGAGGCATGCGGTTCTAGCAAGCAGTTCTGGGTCCACCCAGAGCCCTGGAGCAGGGGTCTCCTCTGCAGCCCTTGGGGTGCACAACTCTAGCAAGAAGTTCTGGGCCCACCCCAAGTGGGGGACTCCTCCGCCTCTGCCTGTGGGGCATGCATGGCTCTAGCAAGTAGTTCTGTGCTTGCCCGGAGCAGGGGACTCCTCTGTGGCCACCCGCCACCCACGGGAGGCGTGTGGCTATAGCAAGCAGTTCTGGCTCCTGCAGAGCCCTGGAGTGGGGATCTCCTCTGCTGCCCATAGGGCACGTGACTCTCACAAGCAATTCTGGGCCCTCCCTAAGTTGGGGACTCCTCCACCGCAGCCCGTGGGGTGTGCGAGGCTCTAGCAAGTAGTTCTGTGGCTGCTGGATCAGGGGACTCCTCTGCGGTCACCTGCCGCCCACAGGAGTCCTGCGGCTCTAGCAAGCAGTTCTAGACCCGCCCAGAGCCCTGGAGTGGGGATCTCCTCTGTTGCCCGTGGGGCGCGGCTCTAGCAAGCAGTTCTGGGCCCTCCCAGAGTGGGAGACTCCTCCGCTGCCTCCTGCAGGGTGTGCGAGGCTCTAGCAAGTAGTTCTGTGCCTGCCTGGAGCAGGGGACTCCTCTGCAGCCACCTGCCACCCATGGGAGGCATGCACTTCTAGCAAGCAGTTCTGGGCCCACCCAGAGCCCTGGAGTGGGGGTCTCCTCTGCCTCCCGTGGGGCGCATGACTCTAGCAAGCAGTTCTGGGCCCTCCCAAAGTGGGGGACTCCTCTGCCACTGCTCACAGGGTGTGTGAGGCTCTAGCAAGTAGTTCTGTGCCTTCCTGGAGCAGGGGACTCTTCTGCAGCCACCAGCCAGCCGCAGGAGGTGTGTGGCTCTAGCAAGCAGTTCTGAGGCCCACTTTGTACCTGTATTTTGTGTTCTTAAATGCTCTTCCTTGGATTTACAGCTTGCCGAGCTTCTTTCTGGGCTCAGCTCCCTGTCTTTGGCTTTGTAGATTCTAATTCCATCCAGTTTTTCTTCTTTTGCTCAGGAGCCTCTGACCAGGGTTGCTACCAGTCAGTCATCTTCCCAGAATCCCCCCATGGTGCCAATTTTAAAGTGAATTCTTTATAAATGTATTGAGTCCTCTGACATGTTTGGTCTGTAATTCTTCCAGAGCATTTTTTTAAGCTTGTTTAATAAACTAGCTCATCTATAATTTGGATATTTTCATTCTAGGTGGAAAGGGCAAGAAATTTTTTTTTCTTCCAATCCCATGATGAGATTATGCATCATTGCATTCACTTAATCACAGAGTGTTACTGAGAGCCTATGGTGACAGGGTTCTTACACTTTCCTCAGAGGCTTTTATGCATTTTCTTCCCTTGAAACTGACCCTGTTTTAGGATCTGGCCCTTTTTAACTCTGCCTTCACAGAGAGGTCTTGGAGGAGTCACAGTGTTCTTATTTCTATGGAATGACAACCCTGTTCAAAGCTTTCATTGGACTTGTAGAAAACTGAGCACTTTTCACCTTCACCCAAGTCTCAGTTGTCAGATCATCTGGATAATTTCAGCTATATAGAAGGATGATTGATCCATATGTTTCCATAATGACACTTTGCAGGGAGACCAGGGACTAAGGAATCTTTGTTCAGGCCATTCCTTCCCTCATGTAATCTGGCCCTCCAACAGGTGAAGCTGAGAAGTACAGTGCCAGGCTTGCTCATCTTTCCAATGTGGTCAAGCACAAAGCATCCGTTTTCCTGCCTCTGCACATCAGCTCCCTCTGTAGGAAAACCCAAAAGACTGGTGCAGACATCTTTGGTGTGTCATGTATAGACTCTGCCAACTGAGCATTCTGGATGCCTGAGACCTTCCTGCTCTGGTGCTACTGAGGGAAGGCAGATGGGAGGAAGAAGAGAGGCTGAGGGGAGGGGCTGCCACTCACACATCTAATCATGAAGCTGCTGATCTCACATTGGCCCCATAGAGGCAAACGGGAAAGTGTGGCTGAATAGTATTGTGTGCATATATAGTACCACATGCCCTGCATGTCCTTTCAGCTCAAGGAGAGGGGCCTTCCAAAGCTCAGGTACCTCCCTGTTGACAGCAAAAGATGCATTATGCCACATAATGTAAGTAATAATAACATGTTCCAGACAGTTGATTAAAACTTTCCCATATTTTTTATAGGTTA